ACAATGAATGATTTTGAAAAGCTTGAATGGTGCTGTAACAGAAATGCCAATATTAGTTATGTATGTTTTGTATGAATACTCTGTCATTAAATTTTTGGCATTCTTTATGTTCTCAATGTGAACTCAAAAACTTGACATAGAATAAGATCCAAGAAGCTCTCTTATAGCTGAGAAGACTGTCCTGTCCTTGCCTGAAGGAAGGACAAATCTGTTTAAAAGTAAGTCTTTTAGTTACTACATGGAGCTCTCTCAAGATCAGATGTCCTTTTTCAACTTGCAGATAGGAGATTTGAACTTTCTGCCTTTTTTCTCAATGTTAAAATCACAGCTATCCCCCTCTAAGAGTGTGAAGATCTTCACCCTTTCTCTTCATCTCAGACTAGGTTTCTTGGATAAATGCCATCATTTCAATATCTATATCTCCCTGACTTTGAGAGAAGTTTTATTTTTCAAGAGACTTATCCTCTCAAAGTTCCCAAACAAACCAACGTTTTAGCTTCTTTTTTGCATAGATACACATGGCAGTGTTTATTTATTTTTTATTTTTATTTTTTTATCTCTCTCTCTTCACAACCCATGCCGACAGATGGAGAATAGTGTTGGTGTGATTTATTACATAAAACAGGCAGAAGGTAAGGTGTGATTTTATGGACTCATCATTCTTTGTGGTACCGGACGAGATGGTTTTGGCTAAATAACCAACCACCTCTAGCTAGGACCCAGCTGGATAATGCACCTCAGTCTCTCAGCATCACATTCTCAGTAATTGTCTGTACAATCCATAAATCTCAATCCAGCACATTACTTAATAAAAAAGGTACCTTAAGAGCCAAATCATTTGTTTTGATTTGATGTTGTTGGGGGAACAGGGAACATTCTCCCACATGATGGATGTTTTACTTTGCGACAAAAACTCCTCACATGCAGTTTCCTTCTGTTAGGCTTGGAGACAATTATGAAAGCCATATATAGTCATCTTTTCTTGCACATTTGAAAGCAATGATTGATGTTCCTGAGGGCTACAACTTACTGTTTTTGCTAGAAACCAAAATAGGTTTATTACCCAGATTATGATACAAGTTTTCAAGCAAAGACACTTTGCTTATTGTATTTTTCCAGATTGCTTTTTTATTATTGTGAGACCTGTCAATGGGGAACAAATTGGTGTCTTCTAAGAATATACTTATTTTAGCTTTGATCAGTTTTTCTGTCTTTGCTGAAAGTAAAGCACCCCAATAGCATAATGCTCCACCAGGCTGTGGATGGTCTGCTCAGGTCAACGGGCAGTTTTAAATTTGCACGTTATTTTGCATGTAGGCCAACAGTAACATTTTGGACACATCTAACCAGAGCTGTTTTCCACGTCCTTCCATCATCCATTTTTATTTTTTATTGCCAAAATCTAAATGAGACGCTGGCGTTTTTTTTAACAGTGGCGTTGTTATACCCAGTCTTCCATATTGCTCTCATTTGTAGTCTGGTAAATAATTAATGTGACATGTTTCCAGGTTTTTTTTTTTTTTTTTACTTTTGAAAAACATTTCTTCTTTTCTGTCCTTCCGCTGCTGCTTAGCTTTTATCTTTAAGTTTTTTATTTGTTTGAGATGCTTCAGTAACGTACAAACAAGCTAATGTTTTTAGAGAGTTACTGCACATCAATCTCTCTTTTTGGCAAAAAATGGCAAAGTACGGGATAAACAAAGTATGTAATAAAAAAAATATTATATATATATATATATTAAATCAAGAATGTCTTCTATTTTTAAACACAACCCAGTCTGCCTAGTGTATTTCCCTCCTGGCTTTCCAATTTAAATGCAAATGTTCCCAAATCGGACTCAAAAAAGAAAATGCACAGGCAAAATAATTTAATGCAGATGAATTATATATTTTAATTAAGCAGCCAAAAGAATCACGCCTATTCAGCCCTTTCCTCTCCAGTGAGAAATGAATAAATAAATATGGAATAAGGAAGTAGTGGAAGGGGGCTAAATTGAAGGGTTAGGAGAAAGAGATGGTCGGAAGGACGAGGATGAGGGGGGTTGGATTGAGTTTGTGAAATTGCACCTCTAAGCGCCTGCTGTCTGTCATTATGTGAGTGATCTGAAGCTGTCAGATTTCAAAAATGTATTGTTTTCTGATAGACAGGCTAAATACCCCTGGAGTTCCCAGCATTCACATACACTCATTATTATGCTCACATAGTTGCACTCGATGGGTGCAAAACGTTACTAAATGCACATACCTTTAGAAACACACAAATATTTTAGTTATGATGGTGATGGGCTAACCAGTAGTTAGAAAATGATGACCAACAAAGAGGATTGTGATGCTCTGACAAGGGATGCAATTTTAATTTCATCCCCTGTCACTCTCCCAAACATCTCTTCAGATGAAATACATACGAGCTGCCAATCACTCACAAATACAGGCACTAAAATGCACATATGATCACACAAATTCACATTCACGTGCATGCAAACTTTCAGTAGCTATTTCTGTCTTTCACAGACGTATGCACGCAAAGCAAAGAACAAAACTATAGACTGACAGTAATTGTGGAAAAGTGTAGGAATATTTTAAAGATTGCAGAATCACTTTTAAGATTTTATGGTAAGAATTTATAAAAAAAACAAAAAAAAAACAATTTGATTCAGAACTACCTATCCACCTTGGTGTGTTGGCCATCCCTTAATGGCTTCTGAAACATGATTGTCAGCAAATTGTCATATAAACCAGAACCTACAATGAAAACATTGTTTTCAACTCCTTAATAGATAAGAGATACTCATAAATCTTCAATCTTTAAACACTCAACAAGTTGATTGAACTTAATGACAGGTGCCCACTATGCATCTGGATTTGACATTACAAGACCTCCCATTTCTCCTTACCAGCTTGAGCTTTTGGCCCAATAGGATATGGACTAAAACTCCCTCTACCACAGGCATCTTCCACCATTTGGTGATCAGTAAAACAGAAAGATGCCTCACACAAATACTTGATGATTTGGTGTTCCATAACATAAGTACATTTTGAAACACTGTATTTTATAGTTTATAGCCCAAACTGAGCCAGAATATTGTGCAGCCTGTGCAAAGTTAAAACATATAAAGGACAATCACTTGAAAATATAATTAATTGGAGGAGGAGGAAACACTAGTCTGCAATGGTGAAATGAAGCGCTGAGGTTGAAAGCATCGCACTCACAAGCATTACCCATCAAACGTCTTTGCTAATGAGGACTTAGTGGTTTTCAAAAGTAAACACTTAATATTGATAGTATTTGTAGAACTGCTCATAGAATACAATTTATTTTATTATTTTATCATTTCTACCTGTCATTAACAGCATTTAGATATTTTTTTCCCAAACAGCATACATTTTAATAAATACCTCTAGAGTGAATTTTAAGGTTTTCTGAGAACTTTAGCACTGCCCTAATTAGTCTTCCCAAATGATTCTAAACAAACATCTTAGGTTCTTTTCTTAGACCTTTTGAATATTTTTCTTAAACCCCTTATAATTGGTGATTCATGAAAATTCCCTTGAGTGTGGAATGTCTTAGACTGTTCTTGATCCTTCTGACATTTTATTCCCTCCATAAAAGCTTTTTCATGTTCCTAAACTTCAATCCAGTGCTTGCAGTTATGTATTCTTTTTTTCCCCTTTGTGAGATGCTTTAATATGTTGTTGTCGGTTTCACGTTCCGCCTAACATATAATGAGTGAAGGATACAATATGTAGATTGGGAATTGGGAGATGAAGATGGAGAAAGAGAGAGACTCTGCAAGCAATAGTCAGAAAGTAGAAAAAAAGCAAGAATCAGAATTTTAAGAAAGTAAGTTCATAGCTGAAGCTAAACATAGAGCAAGAGCAAATGGGATATGACAGACGTTGGTATCAGCTGGAGCTTTGCCTGAAAAGTACAAGGAAATTCACTTCCTTTCTTTGGCTCTATTTAAAGTGTTCACTCTGTTCTTCACGCATACACCTTACTCAGTGCAAATCTCAGCAGTAGTCAGACCCATAGACAACCTTTGTGTGTATGAGTGCCAACTATATATTTTTGATGAACAGAGAAAGGAAACACAGCAACAGCCAAGAGACGGTAGAGTAGATGGAGATCCGAAGGAAAAGACACAATTTGAAGGGAAGTTTTGGGTTTAAGTCCCTTCGCAGCCTCGACTTCACGCAGCTCAGCTGTACTTGGACACAGTCAAGAATTCCAAGGAGCCCCAGCTATTGTTTTTAACTTGAAAGTCCTGAGATGGACAATTGACATGCTAAAAAGTCAACATCTCAAAGTAAAGATTTATTTCTGAATGATTAAATTTATGATTTACTAGTGACACATAGCACATTTTGCTTACCGTAGAGATGAGATAAAAAAATACATTACATAAAAAAAAAAACCTTAAACATTAAACTTACTCAATTTTCAAAGTGTCAGGTTGCAACTCTCAAAAATTGAGTCGCATAGTAAAATGTGGGCACTTACATTTATTTTGTGAAGCAAATTATTATCCATGAATATATATATATATATATATATATATATATATATATATGTATATATATGTATTTGCTTGTTTTGTGCTATACCTTTAAGGGCTGCTGGCCATAGCCCGTCCCAGTAAGGATGGGCCCATTAGGCTGATGAATGGAGGGAAAGCGTCAGAAACAAGGGGAATATGCATCACAGCAAATAGAAACAAGCACTAATATGAACAACTTTAGTGAGACAAGAACAGCAGGGAAATGAGATAACTTGATCTAAAAATCTGAAGTATACAAAAAAAGGACACATTAGGGAGTGTAATGAAGTGAAAAAAAGATAGACAGTGCAAGATTCAGAGAAGGCAGGAAATGGTTATCGCTCCATCTCTTACATGGTGATGTCTATGGGTCCGTCAGTCAGTCAGCCAGGAAGACAGGCGCCCACACACGCTCCCCTGCTTTCACACGCACTCCTGACTTTGCTGTGTGTGTGTTTACAGATGGCAAACCTTGTGACATCGTTGTGCTGTGTAGTTCTGGCCGCAGTGGTGGTAGCCTACGCTCAGAGGCGCAGTCAGCTTGGTGAGTTTGCATTTTATCTTTTTTACAACAGAATTCGACCTTCCTATCTCACCTTAACCTCTGTCTCTGTTTTTTCTTTATTTATTTTTTTCCTAAAAGTAAATATGATTTCAAACCAGATTTTTTCAACTTTGTTTTCTACTTCCTCTTAACTTGGAATAATTTTTTTTATCTTATCTTTATCCTTTTGGCTGTTTTGTCTCACTGGTGCCTCAGTTTTTTTCGTTTCCAGATATTTTTCTTTGTCTCCAGCTGGAGGTTCCAGTTTCTTTTACATGGCTTTAAAGAAACGTGTATCATGAGCTGGAATAATGATTTCAGGGAATATCAATGTTTTAAGGATTTGTAAATCACATTCTGTTCATTATATCATTTTCAACATGTAATCAAACATCCTCTTAATGACATAGAAGAAAAATGCAGTACTCATCCAACATTTTACAAGTTGTGTAAAGCATCATTCCCTATCCTCCATGTTTTTTTATTTTTATTTTTCTCACACACCAAACACCTGGCTGACAAAAAAGGCTTTTATCAAATAAAGATGAATGTTTGTATGGAAATATTTTTGATCACAAACACATGGTGGTGTGAAAATCGAAAGGGCCACCACCCATCTATAATATAGAAAGCTATGGCTCTATGTTAGTAGTTATCCCAACTGATATCAGCCACTAATGGGTGTACCTGTGTAAAGACCAAAACAAACAAATATATTTTCTTACAAAACTATTACTAATTTTAGATTACATTTATTATGTTGTGCCTGTATGTATTAAAATAAAAATGAAAACAAATCATGTTACAATATAATATCATTTTACTGTCAGAATCTCCTACCAGCCCAGATGTATTTACTGTCCCATTTTTTTCTTGAATTTAGATTTGCAATTTATCTCATTGAATGATAACTGTACTTGTATTTTGTGACATTTTGCAGCAGTAAGGTGCAAAATTTGTTGTCTGCTTTAGATGAGTTGGCATCCATATGTTGTTTTGGTCATCACCAGAATGTTTCAAAATCAAAGCTGAAACAAGATATGGTAGCTGCTCCTCTGAGAGCTTCCACAAAATGCACAATCTGGCCAAGCCATTGAAGGGTGTGAGCTTAACATACAAGTCAGTATGTCACTTGACTCTTAGTGAAGATTGGCTTTTACTTAATAACCTATGAGAATGGACTATTTAGGTCAGCTGACCCAAAAAAGACTCCAAGGATGTCAATAAGTCCACAGTGACGCACGTCACTGTGTCACAAGACTCTCACACGAACACAGACACACAGTATATTTTGTAACGGGAATAATGGATTTGAGTATTACTGGAAAGCACAGAAAAGTTCAATGTAAGAGAAGTGAAGTAAAAACAGAAACAGACAGTGTAAGTCAGAAAGTCAGCCACAGTAGTAATTAATGCCGGAAAGGAACAGTTGCCGAGACATGATCTGAAAGAAACTGAGAGCAATATCAAACATTTGGCTATGTGAGAAAGATAGATATACTCCACCTCTGTTCTTTTTTAGAACCTAGTCACTTTCACTCATAATCAAAATTATTGAGATATTTTCAACACAAATTCAAAGTGTGTTTCTTTTGTGCTGTTCTGAAAAAGAAAAAAAATCAAAATAGGTAATTGAAAAAGGCCACATTTGAGGAAATAAAATATATAAACAGTGGGATGAGTCATACATAGTTTCAACTTTGGAAAATATTTGTGTTGTTTTGACAACTCTTTGCATAAACTAAGGTATAAGGTATAAACACATAAAAACAGTCAATGCTGGACTAAAACCAATTTTTGGTGTCATTTATGCTCGATATCTAAGTTCTGTTCCTTTTCTTGTTAGGATACTACCTAACCCAAAATAAAATTATTCCTTAATTTGATATAGCCATAGCTTTTGGATCAGACTTACAAAAACACTTTTTGTGATTTGCACCAACACTGACTTCTCACCATGTTTATATGTCATACATCTCCAGGGTCTGTCTCTCTGAAGCCACACAAAATTGTTCACTTAACGCAATTCATGTGTGCAAACAGCTATTCATTTACATTTGAAGAAAATGGAAAAAACCCTCTATTGGGCTGGGATCCATTTGTTAGAAATGTACAGACTGATATAGGCACACAGTGTTTTCAAATGAAGTTGTGTATGCCTGTGCTATCCAAAGGGTAATAGGTCCATTTGAGTCTTTTGGATTATTGACAGCCATAAATCACAGAAGAAAGAATGAGATTCTGTGAAACAATATATCTGCAGAAAGGATACATTTAGCAAAATTGGCAAGTTTAGATGTGTAATTTCTTTTTTTACTGGGCCTGATGTTAAAGCAATTTTTAAAAAGTTCAGAAATCCTAATGTTTTAGCTGGCATTTAAATTGCAACAAAATGACCATTTCCAGTGTCTAACACCACATGTCAGAAACATTAGTTACAACAGGATGTAGGAATTATTTCCTCACCAGAAATACTCCTTAAGCGTAAAGCCAAGCACTCTGGTGTTTAGGTCTGCATACTGAATATCTACGGAACTCAGTTAAAGATTCATGCTGACAAAAAATCTGGCAAAAGAACATTGGATGGAAATCTGAACCCCACAAAAGGCAGTCCCTCAATAAAACATCACTTGAAACAACAGAGAAAAATGAAAATAATTGAAAGGCAAAAGCCCACTGAGAGAAAGGGAGGCAGGCTCCAAGGTAAGGCCAATTAAGCTGTGTTGAATATTCCTAGTATAAAAACAGACATTCAGATGCTTTGAAAAGGAGAGTTAAGTACTAAGTTGGTGGAAAAGACTGGAGATGGATACTTACAAGGTAATACATAAGAGCTGAAAACATGAAGAAAAAGATACACTCATCTAGAAAGAGTAATTTATTCATGCTACTTAATCCTTCTTTGAAAATGGCAAAGTATGATTTAGCAAAACAAAATGGGAAAAAGAACACATGCAAATAAATAACATTTTTCTCTTTGCAGCACAAAACAAACCTAATGCCAACTTAAAGCAATCATTGTAAACAAGGTCAGAGAAGCCTTAGATCCACACATGCTGCATTGCTAAGCTGAACTTGAACTTTTGCCATCCCAGTTATGACTTAAAGAAATGGATTAATAACCTTACCTTCAAAGAAGGAGAACATTATTTTTAGTCATTATTATTAATGTAAAAGGAGGCTGTTTTGCAGGTGTAGCAGTGATTCTTAAAAATGGAAGCCTTCTGTAGGCAGGAGAGTGTCACTGATGGGAAATATATCAGCTTTGTACAGCTCAAGAATTTATTAAATTGAATAAATTTCAGTTTTATTGTTTAAATCAATTAATTTACATACTTTGTGAGTTTGACTTTCCAGTGTGCATGCAATACACAGCTAAATACATAATCATGCATTAACACACACTACATTTCACCAGTATTACATGGTCTGTTGGCTTGAGTGGGTCCTACTGAACTCACACTTGATTCATGTCACTAGTGTATCATGTTTTTTTTTTTTTTTATGACGGTGACAAACATTCTAAATTTATTCAAATTCATGTTGAACAATATCTCCAAGCATATGACAGTAAATATTAAACCACAATGTGACTGAAATTGAAATTACAATGTTATGCTCCAAAGTGTACTTTGTTCCAACCAGAATTTTTGTTGGACAACCTAAATATTCTGGCTTTAAAATGCTGCAGTAAGGTTTTAACAATGTGTCAACTGAAATAGAATCTTTTTTTTTTTGTTTGTTTTAAAATGTCATTTGTTAATTGTTTAAATCAATTAACAAATCAGTAATATACTATGTTTTATTCAGTAATCGTACAACCTCTTATAGACATGTTTTGTTCATACTTGAAAATTATTAAAATTATATTCTTGTATTTGTATTTATAAACTGAATATACTTTGACTCCTGAAGCACTGTTAAGCAGCTTTACTTTAAAATTGGTCAGCTATCAGAGGAAGGGTTGGATGATTGAAGGGCTCATTAAACAGTTGATGCCTGGATGTCTGTTTCTTCCAGATTACGTTTTTCTAATAGCGATAGAGTCAATCATATTCTATTTAAAAGTCAATTTTCACCTGCACTGAGGACCAGAATATTGACACCTAGAGGAAAAATTGTGTTTTCCTTTTACTCCAGTATGGGATCTTCTGCCACCTTAATGTATTTGCTATATTTCTATTTCTGTGTGGTTTTTTGGTTTGTTTTTATACCTGAGAAAGCCCCAGAATGTTTTTCAAAGGCATTAGTATTTCAATAAGTAGGTGCCTTCCCAGTAAATTTTTAAATACTGTGACGAAGCACAACACAAATACAAATAGCTTAGGGCAGTGGTTGTCTAATTTTTCATAACAAGCCCCATTTCAGGAAGCTTGATTGATAATGTTTTGGTTTTATTCCAGCTTGAGTTTTTACCATAAGGCTGTTTGAATGTGACATGGCCACCGGCCGCCCAGGATGGCATCTTGTGGGGGGGCGGAAGGAGGTGAAAATTTCCACCTGTAATGACTCTCTCCATCTTATCCCTTCCTTCAACACTCTCTGATACAATACTTCATTCTCTTTCCCTTTGTCTACACTTTTCTCCCCTGGAAATCCTTGCTCTGAACTCTCCTTAAAATATAGAGATATAAAGAAGGTCTGCCACCTATGGTGACATTTACTTTTCTCCATGTGACTAAAAGAGCTGGTGTACTACATTTTTACCTTTGTTCCAACTCCTAATCTCGCATTCTGTCTAATTTTGCCCAGCAAAAAAGTGAAGGGTTAAGAAAGAAAAAGATTAGGCAATCCAAAGCCAGAGGGACTGAGAGCAAATGAGAGACATCAGGAAGTAAAAGTTTAACTCCCCAACTAATTCCATGGTATTACAGCTGTCATAGCTGTATTTATTTCTCGAGCATTCAACTCAGGTTGGTGGCTCCTCAACATACCTGGGCGTATGCTTTCCTACACAGATCTATTTATCCATTCCTGTGAATGAATTGTGCAAATTGTTT